AAAAAAAAAAAAAAAAAAAAAAAAAAAAAAAAAAAAAAAAAGTAATAATTGTGTTGGCTGTCATTTTTCTTATTTTTTTCCCCAGTATATATGCCAAAGCAGGTTCTTAGTTTTGTCAACGTTTCTCCATCTATCCACATTTTCATTTCTCAACACGTGTCCCAAAAATCAAGTACGATCAAATACTTAATGAAACACCTCATGTTTATTCTAGAGCTGTTTTACGCAGATGCTTCCACTTGCCTGTCTGGTATTGAGAATTTTCAGATACCAACAGTGCTATGAGAAGTTCTCATTAACTTTAATTGTTACTGTCATTGCCTTTTCACTATTTTCTACTGCCACATCCTCCTCTTTGTAGATTATATTCAAGTTGCTGTTTTGTCATTTCTTCAGACTTCGTTCACTGTAATTAGAATTATTCAAGTAATAAAAAGATATTTTACCACTTCTAAATTATTGATCCTTACCTTTTTCTGGTCTGTGATCATTTCTTGAAAATTAGGTTTGTATATAGGTTAAAATACTGGAGTTAACGCATGATTGTTGATTCTTCTTGAAGCACATTTCACATACAAGTTCCCTTTTCCAAAAAGAACCTCTGCAAAATGTTTTCTTTTATAAGCAAGACAAGGTTTATAAGAAGGGTAGGGTCTGTTGGCAAAATAACTAGTGTACTTAGAAAAATAGAGATGCACCATATTTCAACAGTAAATGCAAAGTGAGAACAATTTCTAAGGATATAAAAAAGTATGCATTACCCGGGCAATCCAGGATAAATAAAACATGGATTACATGTAGTGAAAAGTAGTTGATGCTAGAAAAACATGGTAAGTAGGTTATTTCCAAAGGGACAAGTGACAGATATTGGAAGACTGTGAAAGGCAGAGATGGTGAGTGGGATTACAACGAATGATACATGCCACATAAAAATGAAAATCCAGAAATTATAATGCAATGCAAAACCAATGCCTAATTTTTTTTATCTGGCTTTTGGTATCAAACATAATTATTAATTTTTGCTGCTGGTTGTACGTTTCATCAAAATATTTAGTCTTAGTTCCAATTTCAAGATACCTAGAAGCTGATCACTCACATGATAATAATGTTGAAAATACTGACAGAAACGTATTTGAGGGAGTTCGGTGGGGAAAGGTGATTTAAGACTGCAAGGTGTTGTGTGGTTGTTTCTTGTTTTTTTTTTCTTTTTAAGAGATTTGAAATTATCACTAAAATTCTGAAATATTTTTAGTAAATAAAAATGCTTGGATTTTGCCATCTTGAGACAGAAAGTGAGTTCAAAGCCTCATAAATCATAGGGAAAAAGTAGTACAGGAAAAAGAAAAATAACACATACATGACCGATGAAGATGCAGATATAACGTACTCTGTTCAGTATTAGACCTTTCACATTTTCAAATAAAATTCACGCTCTGTTAAGAATGATTTGCCTGTCTTCCAAGAGTGGCATAGCAGTTGCACAGAGACACCCACCAGGGATTTCTTTGCTTCCAGTAAACAAAGACCAACACTTTCTCTCCCTTATTCTCTTCTGCCTCTCAGAGGAGTCCAGTTAAAGAGCCTTTCCCACCATGCTATCTCTTGTTAGCTCCCAAATAAGATATTGTGTACATCAGTGGAAGGCTTTATAAATAAAAAATGATATTGCAGTAGAGGAACAAGCAAAGCCAGGAGTTAAGAATAGAAATCTGCTATACTTGAACAGGTAAGAGTTAAGGGAATGTGGGTGCCAAAACTATTTATAGTGCAGAGCCTCTGCTCCTGAAATAGAACTAATAAAAAAAGTGAAAGGAAGCTTCCTAAATTTTTTTATGTTGACAATTTATGTTCACAGGAAAGTATATAGTATATGAAGCATTTACAATTCATAAAATCAAGATTAACTCCAGCAATTTCTTAAATCAAATTGTTCATACTTTGTAAATCAAAAATTTGTAATGTACCACAGTATCTATGTTTATGAATTCAACCACAAGTAACCCTGAGGCTAAAAGCACATGAATTACTTCCTAGACCACCATACTTAGGCAGCTACCAATGGTTCAAAATGAGGCATGAAGAAAGTTCTTCCATGTAGACAGTTACCTCTAATTAGCCACCCAGTTATTGATGCTGATGTTGACTACCTCATGGAGCCAAGAGCCAACATTTTGGCATTTTATGCCACAGCAGCTCACTGCTCTACAGCTTGCCTCCAGCACAATGCAAGAACTCCCCATTTACATGTGTCTAGACATCCCTGCCTTTGTGACTGCTTTTCCCAAGGGCAACAAGGAGAGATGAGTTGGATTTGAAGGGCCACATTGTCCTCAGAATATATTACAAACACCACTGCATGCAAATATTCTAAGTGCAAATGAACACCATTACTGCCTTTTGCCTCAGGACGTTGGTATTTCTATAATGAAAGCTCTCGCCTTGCAATGCCACGTTAAGTCCCTGTGGTGATTAACTATTCTGAAGTGGTCAAATCCATGAGCAGAGTAGTAATTGTTTCAGGTGTCAATAGCCAGTCCCCAAAATACTTTCATTCAAATGATATATGGGAATCATTCACAACCCAGGCCTTTATGCTCTTCGGATACTCAAACTACAGTGGAGTCTGTGTCTGTCAGTATGCATGCACCCAGTACCTATCTGTGAGCAGCAGTGACCACAAGGGCTACTTTCTCCACTGCCAATCATGTTTTAACACATTGTTCATTTATCATTGTTGATTTTATTGTCACTTCTGATCTTAGAAAACTTCACCAGAAGAATGCTTGATTTCTGTGGCTCCTGCAGCTGTAGAAACCATGAACAGAAACGTGACCATTCATAGGGTTTTCTTGTTTGTCTTCACTGTGCAAACTGCCAGTTACCTACCTGTCAGCAGCTGACATCCAGTCTAAAGTTCAGAGGTGGAAGGGAAAGTCCTTTAATTCTCATTAGCAGTACTTGGAAGAACAAATGAGCTTTCCCTGGAAATCGCACTAATGTTATACTATATTCTTTTTTCATTTTGCTAATAACATTTGAAACTTGCACACTATAATATATAATAAACAAGACTTAAGTGGTTTGGTGAAGGAGAAGTATAGACCTTAGGAACTACCCGATAGAATCATAGAATTGCAAGGTTTGAAACAACCTGCAAGAACATCTAGTCCAACCATCCTCCCATTACCATTGCTACCACAAGCCTCTAAACCATATCTCGTAGCTCCTCATCCAGACACCTCTTGAACACTGCCAGGGATGGCAACTCTACCACCTCCCTGGTCAAACAGAATCTGATCTCATGTAAGAAGAGGCTGAAGACAGGAAGAAAATGTGATATCTATGGCTGCTGTTACACTTGATGTCATATTAGAAGCTCTAACCTTTTCTTCTGCCCCACACACTGTACAAATCTGTGAAACTGCCACATAGATTTTGCTGACTTAGAACCTATTTAGGCTTTGATGGTGTAAATTCCCTTCCAACCCCAGCGGTCAGATTTTTCATCTCTGGAACCATAGAACACATCCATTAAAGTCTAGTCTGACTTTCCCAGTGATTTAGGAAAAAAAACATGTTAGGAGACACACTGGTAGTTTGAATGCAGATAATTCCCTTCTGCAATTCCCATTAACATCACTCATTATAATCAGCTGTCTTAATACATCTTTTTTGTCTATTGAAACTACAGATGTCAAGAATCATAGACATCCCAAATTTAGATGTCTGGGTCCTAGCTGGAACTAGGGACAGCCAGGAAAGTGGGTTCCTGCTAACCAGAAACATGACACTTCCAGGACACTCCAGAAAGATAACCATCCCACTGGGCAGCTATCCTTAATAAACTGCACCTGAACATTAGGCTCCATCTCATTCATCCTGGGTAGTTTCAACTTGCATCTGACATGGTGTGTTGAGCAAAAATGGCTTGATGCTATATGTCTCTCACAGACTGTCATACAATCCTCTGCTAGGCAGAGCTGTCACAGCCCTAATTCCTACTGTCAACAGGAAGAAGAAAAGTATGACTTGTTTCATGATTGGAGCACAAATCAGTCTGGAGCACATTAGCATTTTTTTCCTATCTTCATGGAAGTGCAGTGACCACAGTGAATAAACTCCCAGTCTCTAAATGGCCATCTGTCTACAAGCCAAACAATCAAAAGTTCCCTGTAGGCTTGACAGTGCAAGGCTTTCTGTGCAGAGCCAGAGGTTAACTGAAGTTTTTGGAGTTTTGATTCCAGTCTGTCACAGTGCAGTTATAGTGTAAAAACAGTCCATATGAAAAACTACTGCTTTTCACTCTGCAGATGTGCTCCTTGTGTGTCTGAGTCAGAGCTGCCTATGTCATGGACACATCCCCACCCTCCCCAGCCACACCTTCCCCCCACCCCACCCCTCCACCCCCACAATTAGAGACTGTACCTGATGCCTAAATCAATCACTTTATCTGAAAGCTGCAGAATATCAGGGCGTGCTATGGAAAGGCAGCCTACTTCTTGTTGCTTAATTTGATCATCTCATACTCATCCTTAGATATTTTAGTAATTTAAAAGCAAAAAAAAAAAAAAAAAAGAAAGAAAGAAAGAAAAAAGACTGGGTGAAGTGACCATAGCGAGCCAGGAGCACTGCTGACATTTGTGCTTCATACATCAGTTCTCATATCAGAATGGAAGACCCTCTGACCAACAAGGGTGTAAATGAAACTAAGGGCTGAAGCAAAAAAGCAATTCATTGTAACCTGGTAACAGTGAATTTCGCTCTTGCATCTTTACTAGATGCAAGAACGCACTTCAGACTACTTGAACTTATTCATTATTCAAAACAATCTGACAAAAAGTGCCCTAGTTCGTAAAGTAAAAAGTGTATGTGCACAAGTCATAGTGTGCATTTCTGTTTTTAAGGGAGAAATAGCCTCATCAAAATCAGTTTTCTATACAGAATATTCATAGGATAGCCCCAGTTCTAAGCATAGGAAATGACAGCAT